CGCCCCGCGGGGGACCCGCTGCGCGGGGCTGCTCCCCAAAGCCGGAGCGGGGCCGCGCTCCGCGCCGCCGGCTTGCTGCGCACCTCGGAGGCGCGGGCCGCGAGTGTCGCGGCGGAGAGCGGGGCACGATCGCATCGCCCGCGGCTGCAGCCCGCGGCCACGGCTGCTCCTGCCTCCGGCGGCCCCAGGCGGCCCTTGCTGCCCGCTGTAGCTCGCTTAGCGTGCTCCGCGCGCGGATTTGACAACGCTTGTCCCTGACGGGGTAACCAAGAGACTGAATTTCTCTAGTAGGAATAGAACACTTTACACTTCTACTTGATCCTTATGCGAAAGTATTCACTCCTTGTTTTCCCCATTTGAACCTTTCAGTGTTGCTTGTTGATCCTCGAAATACCCCGTAAGAGTTAATGACATAATTGCATAGAAATCACAAGGTATAGTATCTATGACTCTGCAGGTTGCTGTTTTTGATGATGTCACACTGAGAAAAATTGCACAACAACCATGCACACGAAGCAAATAACAGATTCTGGCCTTAGCTGCTGTGGGTATCCAACACAGACTTTTATTTATTTATTTATTTATTTATTTATTTATTTAAATAGGGTATTGTAATCCACACAGCATAGGAATTGTTTCCACAATTGTTTTCACAGTCTCAGTTCTGTTTTTCATAAAGGAATGCACAACATTTTATCCATTTCATTTTACTGCTGAAAATTATACATTTATAACTGCAAAAATGAACTGTTGCATATGTATCTCAGACGCTCATTAGAGGAACATTCATACCATGGTAGGCTGTATTCAAACAACTGTAAGGGATGATGTAACTTTTAATTCTATAACAAAAATCTTTTTTCTTTTCTTTCTTTTTTCTTTTTTCTTTTTTTTTTTTTAAGACCAATTACTTCTACTTTATTTGAAAATAAGACCTAAGTTGAGACACCGTTTACATTTAGGCATTTTTTGATGCAGGAGGCAGCACTGCAGCTGCTCCTCCCAAATTCCACTGAGAATTCCTCCAGAGCTGCACTGTGCACCCCTACTGCATAGTCATACACATCATGCATAGATCATGCACAGTCATATATCAATAAAGGTGAAAAGAGCATAGGCGATCCCTTCTACAGCATCATTTGTTAACCCTAACCCTAACCTGCCTCACAAATTCCATCTGTCACTCTGCCTTGGGCAGTGCCAGTTCTCTCAATTCCTGGCTTTCATGTTTATCAGGTACTTAGTAGCACATTCCCATTCAATAATTTCCCTGAAATTAGGTTTGCTAGTTCCTGTTCTTTTAGCTGGTTCTCCTATCTTGGTTTTTGGCCTATGGGTTATTTGCCCTTAGGTTAATGATACATAGAAACGCACTTCGCCCTGGTGAATCTGCATCATGTTATGACATCTGTGAAACTGCATGCTCATGTAATCAAACACCAGAATACCCAAAGTGATGCAAAATCTTTGGGCCAGAGAGAGAGACAGAGAAAGCGAGAGCAAGGATGTAACTTCAGGGAAGAAGGATAAAGGACTATCCTGAAGTTCAATGCTTGGTCTGATGATGTTTCTGTATTTCATGCTATGCAAACCCTGTGGAAAGCACAGGGAGCCCCCATTCATATATGAACACTATGAACTATATTGTCATCCATTCTCTCCTTCCCTTTGATAATGCTTCACTGAGAGGCAGAGAGGAAACCAATACTCCGGTGGTTAAAAAAGCCTTGGGAAACGGGAGTTTGGTCTTTATCCGCAGGGATTCGGCTTCCTGGACCAATGCTCCAACCAAAAGACTGGTCCAGTCAACAGGACCTCTGCCTGCAAGAGATACTCACCCACTGAGGTGCCAAGCAGATAGGGCGACCTTGCCTTTCATTAGGGTGCAGGTCACAGTTTCTCCCCTGGCTTATTTAGTGTATTATTATGATGAGGATTATGAGGATTAGGATGATGATTGTTATTGCTTGAATTCATGAATGCTATTATTAGGCACTTTGTAGTGTATTTTAAGCCTAGACATGTAGCTTGGGGCTGAAGATTTCTGCCTACCATTACAGATCGAATTTGTGGGCAAACAGAAGACAGGATTTAAGAGGCCAGAGTCCTCAGGCTATTGTACCAAGCAGTTGGATCACACTTCTTCCCTCCAGAACATCAGCCTGAAGAGAGTCTAGCTCTTCAACTCAGCAATGAGAGTTTATGCCACCTCTTCCAAACACTGGGACATGATTCCCTTTACCATTTCTATTAAGTCCCCAGTCACCCTTGTTTGCAGAAGACTGTAGAACTGATGTAAATTAAAGTGATCAAGAAGATAATAATGTGGATAAAAAGGCATGCCTGAGGGAAAACTGCCTTACAGAAGTGCAATATTGTGCACTAATGTCATGAAGCACTACTTCCTATATTCTTGTTTAAAAAAAAATAAGGAAAAAAAAGTTTTGTATCCTCTAAGGTCTGCCTCTGAAAACTCAAATTGACTATGGCACTTAAAGATCTGCCCCTTTTATTTCCTGTGAATGTTGCTGGCATCTTTGAAAGAGAAGGTTTGCACATAGTAAACCCTTTGGGTTAGAGC